TTTGATAGACAAATGCTATTTAAAATTCATTGTGTATACGATCTCACACATAGTGTGATAAATGCAGACTCAGTGTCAGTATATCTGGAGTAGCTCAAGATTCAGCATTTTTAATAAGATGCTGCTGTTCCACAGATCACAAGGTGGGTAGAAAATCCATAGAAAGATTAACAATTTGGATTTGTTTGGTTATTTTGGTTTCATTTTTTGACATATTTATACTTCTGTAAGACCATCATCACAATCAAGATAATGAACATAGCCATCACCCCCAAATTTTCTCTTGTGACCCTTGGTAATACCTTCTTCCTATTCCTCTCCATCTCTATTCTCTCTCAAGAACTTATCTGTTTTCTGTCACTGTAATAGTTTTGAATTTTCTAGAATTATATATAAATGGAAACATGCAATCTGAACTACTTTTTGTCAAGCTTCTTTCACTCAGCATAACTATTGGAGATGTCACTTTGTGCATCAATAGTTCATTTCTTCTTACTACTAAGCATTATTACACCACATGGACATACCACACTTTGTTAATGCATTAACTTGTTGGTGGGTATTTGATTTGTATCCAGTTTTGGCTATTATAAATAAAGTTGCTTTAAACATTTTTTTTAAACATATTTATTGGGGTATAATTGCTTTACAATGGTGTGTTAGTTTTAGGCCAGAAACTATCAAACTCTTAGAGGAAAACATGGGCAGAACACTCTATGACATATATCACAGCAAGATCCTTTTTGACCCACCTCCTAGAGAAATGGAAATAAAAACAAAAATAAACAAATGGGACCTAATGAAACTTCAAAGCTTTTGCACAAAAAAAGGAAACCATAAACATTCTTGTAAACGTCTTTGTATGGGCAAATAATTTTATTTCTCTGGGGCAAATATCTGACAACAGAATGGCTGGATCATACGGTCAGCGTATGTTTAAGTTTTTAACAAACACCGCATCTGTTTTCTACAATGATTGTGCCGGGTTCCATTCCCACCAGCAGTGCATGAAAAGAAACTATATTCCATTTGGTGCAGCAATCCATAGTCTTAATTATTTTACGTTGATTGATGGTACTTTTAACATTTTTTATACGTCAGTGAATTTTTTTGTCCTATTGGCGTTTTAATAGAGGAGACCAGTGTTACCTACTCCACGATTATAACTGTCTACTTCTCCTTAGTGCTGTTGATATTTATTTCATGTATTCTAAAGCTCTGATATTAACTTCAGTCACATAGGACTGTTAGGCCTTTTTGATTAATTTACTATTTTATCTTTATAAATGTACTTGTTATGACAGGTAATACTTCTTGTCTTGAGGTCTTGTTTCTGAGATATTAATACAGCATTTCAGCTAACTTATGATTATTATTTTATGTTATAACTTTTCTCATCCTTGTCCTTACAACCTATCTGTGTATTTATAATTAAATTATTTCTTTAGTACATAGTTGGGTTGTTTTTAAATCCAAAACTGACAAACAGTGCATATTATTTGTTGTGTTTTATTAATCTCTTTTTAATGCAATGATTCATTTGGTTAAATTTGCTATACACTCTTGAGTTTACTTCTTTCCCCTTATTCTCCTGTTTATTATTGTACTAATAAAAGGTAATTTTTAGTATCTTATTTTCCCTTTCTTAGTCACTTAATATGGCCCTTTGTTTGTTTTCAGTGATTGCTCTAGTGATTTCGATGTGCATCCTTCACTTCTCACAGCAGTCTACTTGAATAATTCCTATATCACTTTATCTATAATGTAAGAAGCTGACCACCAGATAGTTTAATTTCCCACATCCCATTATTTGTGCCATTATATTCTGCATGTTATATATCCCATAACATTGTTATTAATTTATAAATAGTAAATTATTTTTAAAATATTAATAAAAACCAAAATAGCCTTTTATATTTATCTATATATTTAATATTACCTTCTAATTTCATTACTTTATGTTGGTTCATATGTCCTTCATTCTGAAGAGTTTCTTCTTAATATTTTTATAGTGCAATTGTGCTATTGATTAATTCTTCTAATTTGCTTCATATTACTCTTGTTTTGAAGGATATGTAATTACATGTTAAAAGTTTTTGTCTCAGAACTTTATGTATGTCATTCTATTGCCATCAATCTTACATTATTTCTGATGAACATTTAATGGATATTCTTAGTATTTCCCTTTTTCCTCTAGTTAGTTTTTAATATTTTCTCTTTATATTTTATTTTTAGTAATTTTACAATAACATGATTTTTGTTTGTTTTGTTTTATTCTTGCTTAGTGTTTGTTGAGTATCTTTTGGGGTGGGATATTTTTCTGCACGTTTGAAAAACCATTGGCCACTATTATTTTCTCTTCTTTCTTTTTGGGACTCCAGTTATATATATATGTTATACTGTTTGAGATTGTCCCATAATTATTGAAATTCTCTCTATTTTTAAAAATTATTTTTTCTACTGTCGATGTTATCGTTCTACTTTAATTTGAATCATTTCCATAAAGCAATCTTTAAGCCAATGACATTTTCTACTGTAATGTTCAATCTTTTGATAAAACAATTTTGGATTTCAGATATTATGTCATTCAATTCTAGGAGTTTCAATTTTTGAGTTTTTCTTTTTTTGCTGTGTTTCATCACATGGTCACTGAAATATTTGATTTAGACAATTGTCATCAATAACGTAAAAATTTAAAAGAAAGGGTGACTAGGAAATTCATAATAAATGATTCAAATGACAGTGATGCACAAATGAATTCCTAATGAATCTTAGGAACAAGAACAACAACTTCAGGACAGGAAATAAAATGTGACAAAACCAAGTATTTTGTGCCTCCAGATATCATAGAATATGAAATATACAGCATCAGCTATGAGTATTGTTGACAAATATTTAAAATTGCATCTAATCAAGGCTCTACTAATTTAAAGGGAATAAAGAACTATATTAAACCATACTATAGGCATGCAGTCAGAAAAATCCATAATGTGTGAAACTCTATAGGATCAATGACCTTGTTTGTTCAAGACATAAATGGAAAGAAAAATTAAATTTAGAGTCATGAATCTTGCGGATTAACTGAGACTTAACGAGTGTCTCAACAAACTGCATTGTGTGGGCATAGCTGAATCCTGACTCAAAGATGTTTAAAGAATTTTAATTTGAGTATTGGTTGGATATTTGATTATATTGAAGACTTACTCTTAATTTTTAGTATTCAATTTTGATCTTTAAAAAGGTCATATAGCATTTGTGCCCAAGTGTGTGTGTGTGTGTGTGTGTGTGTGTGTGTGTGTAATGAATGGTTAAAATGATAACGACATTTGAAATTTGTTTTAATGTCAGGAAGTGGATATGTATATAAATTAAGCAAGACTGACCTTGTTTTGATAATTTTGAACCTAAGTAATGGTATATAGGTGTTCATTATACTCTGTTTAGATGTATGAAGATACCATAATATAAAGTTAACATAGATGTTATTTACCCAACATTTTAAGCATAATTCATATCACTGTTAGTGATAGTTTTACAAATGTATACAAAATATCTTCTCATAAAGAAAACTGTACTTGTTCCAAACGTTTTCATTATTCACTAGCTATCAAAATATATATTTTAGCTATTTCTAAGCAACAGACATAAGAATTTCAAATATTTAACATAGGGTGAAATTCATCTTTAATTTTCACCTCAGCTGAATTTCTTCATGACTTTCACTAAGTAAACTTATAACAAAGAATACATCTGCTTGAAGGAATTACAGAGGGACCGCAGGATTCCCGTTTATGACAATGTGTTCTTTCTTAATTAGGTGTTTTTAACAACTCTTCCTAACAAGAGCCAAAGACATAAAAAAACCTGTCAGGGACAATCAAAAATATGTGGAGAAAATTCAAAACAAGGTCATATGAAAAACTCCTAACAGAAAGAGATTCTATGACTTTTCTGCTGATTATGGCATTGTAGATTGGACAAAATTATTTTTCTTCATTAATCCCAAACAAACAAATTCATTTTGGTTATACAGAGGCACTATATAGATGTGGAAATTGCAAAGTTATTCAGTTTCATATAAGGGTGAGAATTACCAATCATATCATGGAGAGCTGGTATGATCAGTATCAGGTAAATGGAAAATTTTAAATGGAAAAGTCAGTAGCTTGATTTTTTTGTCTTAATATTTACATACTAAAAGATACCTTTCATCTCCATTTTACGTATTATAAACATTCAGCCATTTTACCCAATCACTGTCATTTTTCTTTTATTTTTTGAAAAATGGCTTTATTTCTTTGTTAAGATGATAAACATTTCTTTCATATCTTTTGCAATATAAAAATATCTTAACAGGATTTCTATTCACATGATGTTTTATAACATCAGTATAAATCAGTGTAAATGTTTAAATCCCCCAGGTTTTAAGTTGAATTGCCATTTTGTCTATTTAATTAGCTATGTAAAATACCATAATGTGGGAAACTGGATGACAAAGCGTATCTATTGAAAAAGAGGAAAAATGTCACATTTTTCCCTTGCTTGATGGTTGATGTAATTGGATAGTTTGAATTTTACTGAGATAGAAAGGAAGAAGTAAGCAGGGTAAATTTTTAAAAATATCTCAGTGTCAGTTATCAATCAAGGAAATTGCTAGAGCAACTTTTCAACCTTCAGGCAAATTTATGATTACAATGACTGAGCAGAAATTTGTAATTGTACCATTCAAACTATTGCTGAGTTACAAAACATAATTAAGTAGCTTAACTGGAAGATGAGTGTACATTTCTGTTCCATTTTTACAGATGCAAAAGTTGTATCCTGTCTTTAACAATTATGCGAGAAAATGTTATTTTTTAAATGTTGAGAATTTTGTTTTGTTTTTTGTTCTCTAGGAATATGAAAGATACCTAAGAGTTTAAAATATTACAAGGGAACATAAGATTTTTGTTTGCAACATACTTTTCCTCTGAAGAGTACCAGTTGGAATCAAGATCAGAATGAATTTCTGCTTATTGCTGCCTTTTATGTTGGGAATTCCTCTCCTATTGCCTTGCCTTATAGCAACAGAAAACCCTAAAACAGAGGAAGTTAAGCACCCAGCGGGATCTCATTTGAGAGTGAGGCGGGGCTGGATGTGGAACCAGTTTTTTGTACCAGAAGAAATGAATAAGACTAGACATCACATTGGCCAGGTACTGATTTTCTGAAAGTGCTACAGGAAATAACCTTGTAAATCTGATCGAAAGAGTGGAGGAGGCTTTGGTATTTGATGAATTCTCCGTTTTTCTTAGTGGAACCATTAGAAAGCTTCAAACACGAGCATAATTGATTGTTATATTTGCAAGCACCTAAAATAGTCGCAAAAACTTGAAGAAGAGGGAAAGCTCTGGTTTTTAAATTTCACTTTAACATCATACAAAATTGCAGCATTTATCAACATCTGGAAATGTGATGGTGTTATTTTTGGTAATGGATCAAAGCCACCACACGGAGAACAGTAACGTTTACCAACGGCATTTAGCCTGATTTTCCATTATGCTAAGTAGGTGTTGATTTACCCCTCATTAATTTTTAATGAAGCAGATTAATACCAAGTCCTTTTACAGTTATGTAGCTTCAAGAGTCTACACACTTCATTTGATTAGTGAAGTTGAAGTAAAACATAATTATTTCATTTTCTTATAAGAATACATTTTAAGAAAATTTCCTTAATGAGACAAAACATTTCCTATTTATGTTTTTGGGTTTTATTATTATTTGATTTTCTTCAAACAGAAGGAGTTATAATATGTCCTTCTCTGTAAGGCTCTTTCTCTGGATGAATAACTGAAATAAGTTTAACCACTAATTAACTGACACTAAAATTTAATTGGGCCCAGAGTGTGAAACACTCAAAATTTATTAACTCTCTTTTTCTAGCCCTTTTAGGAGAGCTGCTATGTTAGTGTGTTGTCTGGATTTCATATGAATTCATCTGTCCCATCAGCCAAATATATAAGTACATTCATCCAAAGGCCTAGATTAGCATTTTAGGCAAACAGATTTCAATCGTGTGTGTGTGTGCGCACGCGCATGTGCCTGCCTGCTATAAGTAATATTTCTCATCCCTTTTTATTTTCTAAGATAACTCCAGGTAAAGCACAGGCAGAACCGTGTGAGGTCCGTTGTTAAGTGTCTGCTAGTTACCTGAGTCTCTAGCCATATTTACAGTGGACTCCACAGACCCCCATAGGCTCTCCTACCACTGAATAAGGAGACATGCTACTATTGGCAGGCGAATGTTAGTGGTAAGGCTCTACAGGGAAGTGCATCAGTGCAGTCAGAACAGGGATTAGTCACTGAATAACTCACATTTTCTGGGTTTTGTTTTTCTTCTCCCTACACATATCTCCCATTTCCTCCTTTCATATAGCAGTTTATTTTGCTTTTTCTTCATTCCGTAAAAATATTTATGAAAATATTCTAACGGATATCTTTTCCTCTAAGCAGCCTCATTAAGCTTAAACCACATACAGGTAACTGGTTTAAAATAGAGTAATAATGAATACTTACTTATATACTTATATTATTATACTTATAATAACAGAGCTGGTAAAAATAAAATGTAGTTGATGTGTCCAAAATAACTTTCTTTTTCATCTGTTTGTTAAAATAGATTAAATTTGGAAAGCACAATTAGGTAAAAATTTAGTCATATTGATTTGCCAAATTGATAGTAACTATGTAATTGAAAAAATATTTTTGAATGGAAATACAGAAAATTTTATAACACTAGAATCCACAAAATTGAAATGTGTTTTACTTATGCATTTAGTGACAACAAGAGGAAGATGTTCAATTTTTTTTTAAATTAAATATGGGTCCTTAAAAAGATCAAGCTCACTGATCTATGAAAATTAACATGAATATACTTGAAATACATTTATTCATGACTGAATTTGACTTGTCTTCATTGTAACATTCAAATTTTCAAACTACATTGAAATAATATTTGGAAACCAGGGGCTATGCATTGCTTTCATTTGGTATACTTATTGGAGAATACATTTGTTTTCCACAATTTCTTATCACTAGGGCTTGGGGATTTCACTTTTACAAGTAATGAAGGACTTTCAAATTTTAAAAGCTGTAACTCTTTTTTATTATCCTTTTATTATCTCCAATTTGGTTCTTTCATTGTAGAGCAGTGATGTTCAACACATTATTAAAATTAGTTGTTTTAGATATCTTTAGATATTCTCCACAATCACATAGAAAAAATGATTAATTAGTCCAGAATAATATATTGTACTTTGAGCTATCAGAAAAATTATGAAATTAAGGTTGTATTTTTTGGCTAACTTTGTAAATTTTCAGAGAAGCTCTTACTTTGAAGAAGGGTATATTCATAAATGGTGAATCAAGAAAACCATGGATTCACAATAATTAAGAGATTATTCTCTAATGCTTCCTTTCTTTATGTAAAAATAAGTTAGATATGAAAAATCATACGTTACCTATATCATAACATCTTTTTTATATATAAAATTCAAAATTCCATTCACACTATGAATAATGAACATTTACTTTGCTCTTAAATAAATAAAATCGTGAGGACAAAAGAAGTACATTTGAGAACTGAGTGACCTATGTTGGAAAGGAAGAGTTAGAGTTAATTTGGCTAAAACTCAAGGACTAAAAGACCATGTTAGGTATTGGTTTGCAGGGGGAGGATCTGAGATCAAACAGGCCTTTTGGTGTAAATCATAATTCTACCCCAAAACCATGTGACGCTGTGAAAGTTTTAAAAATTTTCAGTCTCACTTTCCTTCTCTATTGAAAGAATTTATTATATCAATAATGTGTATTTTACAATGAATGCATGAGGATTAATTGAGAAAACTAATATAAAGCAATTTGTAGATTTTATGGATGATTGAGATTATTATCTTCTCAACATGCTCCCTAATTTTCTTACTAGTATTTCCATGTTTTCTATGTGTTTTTAGCCTAGAGATAGAACATCACTCTTTAAATTTATTTTAGATCATTATCTCTCTGTCTCTAGGCCCCAATCTAATATAAATATTTGAGAGTATGGTTTTAGTGACTAAAAATGTAATCATAGAGTAAACACGAACCAACCTTTTTGTACATAATGTATAAGAGGAGCTTTATTTTTCAATCATTATAGTTTCTAATTAGAATCATCTGTTTAGAGTAATGAACTTTGTATAGCGCTTTACGTTGAAAATTCAAAGACTTCTCTGCCTGGTGATAGATTTTAATCTTAAACTTAACATTTTACCTCACTTAATATAATATGGGAATTATATGGAATTTTTAACTTAGGGAATAATTAACAGACATGAAGATGCAATGATTAAAATTTGTCTTAACATGTTTGGAAAGTAAATTATCTCTCTTTGCACTTGCAGCTAAGATCTGATTTAGACAATGGAAACAACTCTTTCCAGTACAAGCTTTTGGGAGCTGGAGCTGGAAGTGTTTTTGTCATTGATGAAAGAACAGGTGACATATATGCTGTACAGAAGCTTGATAGAGAGGAACGGTCCCTCTACACTCTAAGAGCCCAGGTAATAGACACCACTACTGGAAGGGCTATGGAACCTGAGTCTGAGTTTGTCATCAGAGTGTCGGATATCAATGACAATGAACCAAAATTCCTAGATGAACCTTATGAGGCCATTGTACCAGAGATGTCTCCAGAAGGTATTGCATATTAATTTACGTCAAAGATGTACCTATTAACATTGAAAGCAGATTTAAAATTTCGAGCATATGTTTTGGAAGTGAATTATTTACCGTTCTACACGGGTACTTCCTTCTGCAAATGTGTTAAGTAAAATATTTGAAAAATTAGACTAATGACTAAAATCTTGTAAATAATCATACTATATATTAATAAGTAATTTGTCTTGTTAAAATATAATTTCAGTCTTCAATAGAAAGAAACGTTTATTTGAGTATACATAAAATTCTTTAGCTTGTTCACTTATTGGTTTCTTCAATAAAAGAATTTACTTTCCAAAACAAACTATTCTTTTATATCTCAAAAAATACATAAGATCATCCTGAAAGAGTCACACATAAAAATAGGAGAAACCAATTTATAAGACTAGAATCCTAGATGCATCCAAACAACGGAACATGAAAATTAAAAACAAAACAAAATGGTTAAAGACCTCTGTTTAGCCATATCCATTTTTAAGTTCTTTTTCAAACCCAATGTCACTTTAATAAATATTTTAAATATAATACTTGTAGAAGAGAATGCTTTCCATGAGATGTAATAATTGACTGCCTTGGAAATCAGACATGTCTTTCCAATAGGGGGAAAATCATGGTATGGTTATACAAAATTTGTCCACTCATTCTTTGTCAGAAAAGTTTAATAATACAACAGATAGTAAAATTTAATTCACAAAATTTCCTTAAGTATGATAAACTTCAACGTGATTTAATAATTGTCATTTTTAAATTATGCTAATGTGGTTTAAAACTGCCTTACCTAAACATTTGATTCATTAGCCAGGAAGTCTAAAAATATATATTCCATTATATATTTTCCTGATTCTTCATTTTTTTTAACATTCCAGGTAACAATTTAAAGACCTATTTCTACATGTATTCAGAACATAGGTTTTTAACAACAGCCTAAACAAATTTAGCTGTGTAGACCAACTGTCAAGACCAACTGTCCTTAGATATAATTGACACATTAATATTGTCCTATTTGATAGCTAGGCAGTGATATATTTCTTCTTTTTTAAAATAAATTTATTTTTGGCTGCACTGGGTCTTCTTTGCTGTGTGCAGGCTTTCTCTAGCTGCGGCAAGCGGGGACCATTCTTCATTGGGGTGTGCAGGTTTCTCATTGCGGTGGCTTCTCTTGTTGTGGAGCACGGGCTGTAGGCGCATGGGCTTCAGTAGTTGTGGCATGCAGCCTCAGTAGTTGTGGCTCACGGGCTCTAGAGCACAGGCTCAGTAGTTGTGGCACACGTGCTTAGTTGCTCCGCGGCATGTGGGATCTTCCCGGACCAGGGCTTGAACCCGTGTCCCCTGCATTGGCTGGTGGGTTCTTAACCACTGCGCCACAGGGAAGTCCAGCAGTGATATTTCTTTTTCTCCTTTCCATTCTCCTCCTCCTCCTCCTTTCTCTCCTCCTCTTCCTCCTTCTTCTTCAACTAGCATACGTTATGGGCCTCACATGTTCTAGGAACTTTTTGTAAGACTGGGGATTCAGTTGTAAAGGAAATATATGAAGTAACGGCTAGTATGGAGCTTATATTTTAGTTATAGCACACGAACAGTAAATAACTCTTTTAAATAAGCCAGGTAATATTTGACATTGTATGTTATTAAAGTGTTAAGTATGGGTAAAGTATGATGATGATTAATTGACTGGATGAAACGGGGACATTTAGGAGGTGACCTTTGAAGGAAATGATACAAAGGGGCCAGCCATGCCATGTTCTGGGAAAAAAAATTTCCATTGCAGAGTGAGGAGAATTGCATATATCAGTATTGGAGTTATTGGCATATTGCTGGCATGGAGGGCATGACAAAGGATGAGATCCCCTTAGTAGAGAATTTAGGTAGAGAAAAGGCAAACATACAGGGTGACCGAACTGTTAGAACTTAGTTGACTGCTGAATTAGAATCAATGAGATTGGTCAGTCATGTAAGAAAAGAAAGAAACGAGGAGAGACGTTGCACAAGAAGAGATCCTCCAACTCTGTGGAAGCTGCTTTGAGGTTGAATAAAATCAACGTTGGTACAAGTTTACATGCTGCATCACCTATGTAAAATAAGTTTTTGCAATATGATATGTCTGATAAAGTGGGCATAGTCAAATATCGTCTTAAATTTATTTTTATAAAGTCCTTTGCAAAAACTAGATTTAAGATTCTAGAAAGCTATCTAGAAAGACACAACTGATTTAAATTTTGCATGTTTGAAGAAAATCTCTCAAGGGTAATATAGGCAAACAATATCAACTATCAATGTAATGGATAGAATGCAGAATTGATATATTACAACATATTATTTGTAAGTTTATTATAGGAACAAGTAAACTGAGAAATTACTTTTGTTAAAATCTGATTCTGAGACAATACTTTTTTAGAATTAAACTTTTGTTCACTTAACAGGGTAGATACCAACTGATTTAAGAGCTCTTCAGACTGCAAGAGTCCAGTCATTGGCTCTTCGCATTTCCAAATAGTTTGGCCATCTGTGATCAAGCTATGCTGCCTCAACTCAGAGGCTCACAATGACCTTTGGATCCTTCAGTCACCAAGAGAAGGCTTTTCCCACTCTCTGGTCTACATTCCTTGCTAATTCAATTTCATGAATCTAGTCAATTTAAATTTTTAAGAGTTGTCATCAGTTATTCAATTCTAATTACAGGATGGTGTCTTAAGGTGGAATAATAGGAGTTAAGGGTGAGAGGATTCAGTATACACATATTCGTTCTGGGTTATTGGCCCTTCCCTTTACACATAATCATTGTGATCATTTTGCATTGTCACTGGTGTTCTAAAGTAGGGCGATCAGATTTCCAGTTCTACCTATGACAGCCCTACTAAACCCCCCCCTTTTTTTTTCTAGAATCTTGTCCTAGAAGCATTTGTCCCTGATTTTTAATTTTTAAAAAATTTTATTAGTACCTGCATTACAACAAGCCAGAATTAATTTGGTAGATATCTACTTTTTTTTACTTACAGCTTCTTTCATGGTGTGTGAGAAAAAGTGTGTGACATGTGGGCAGTGAATAAAGTTGTTTTAAGGCATGGTTAAATCTGAAAGAGGGCTAGTTATAACCCAGTACACTATATGATAAAACACAGTTAAGCTAATAAACCTATTAAATAATGTACATACACATGAAGAATATCCTTTTGATGATATATTTCAGGTTAAAATAGTCTGCATAAGATACCTTTCATTAATGTACATATAGACCATTTATCCTTTAGAAATACATTTATTCTAATATAATTTAGAGAGAATTTAATTTTTGATCCATTAATGTAATAAACCCAATTTGTCACTTTTAGTGAGAGCACAGTAAAATGAATAAAGAGAGACTAAACAGGTTAGATTATATATGTGACATGTACCATGCTTCATACATTGATCGAGTCAGTAATGCACATTAAAGATGATACTCAACAACTAAGTGTCTGTTCCCTATATTTAACTGGTAACACAAGGAAGGGGGGACTGTGAAACAATTATTGATTATTTCTATGAAAGACACATTATTGGCCTCATAGTAATTTTGTCAATTTTGTATGCACTGTAGTATAGCATACCCAACTGCGAGTGAATGCACAATTCCTCTTACACATGTCAAGTCCTCATGGAAAACATAAATATACAAAATATTATCAAATATTTTGTATTTCTTAATTGCTTTGATGTTTATTTATTATTACTATTTATTTACATTTGACTTTTTTTAAAGATTTCTACAGTATTTAAATTACTAATTAGGAAATTATACAGGTTTACTTCTATTGACATTTTTAGAAAAACCATTTAAAAAATATTTAGAGGGTTTAAAGTTGCTTAATCTGTATTGAATGAATTGTAATGTCAATAAAACTGAAACAGGAAAAAAGGAAAGACTGAAACAACTGAAGAAAATAAAATCAGATCAGAGTGATGTAAAAATTGAACATTGCTAAAGTCCTTCTGAATTTAATAGACAATATTTACAAATTATGAGTAAGAATAAAGCAAGACTTTATGCAATGAATTTTTGGAAATTCTGCTGCATATTTGTATCATCTTAATTTATTTTGCCTTTCTTTTTTCCGTGGTAAGTTTATAGTAAGATTCACAGACACATGATTTCACACACACACACACACACACACACACACACACACATGCAAACACACACTCACTCACAAACATAAAAAGTGAATCACTGGTTAGTCATCAATGGTTCATCATCAAGCACTGTTTGAAACATTGAAACATTGTAGAATTATGCCAGTTCTGTAGGATTGCTACTTTTAATTTAAAAGTGCAGTGAGTCTTATAAGGGAGAACATTAATTATTTTCCTAGAAATTGAACTCCCTAACAATTCACATGAGAGAGTTATTCTGAATATTTATAATATCATATTTTTATCCACTAAATTTTCTGATTTTGACTTTTTTTGGATTTACCCCACATGCAAAGAAATTATTTTTTGTGACATTAATATATTACATTAAGTTTTCCATTTAGTAGAGAAAAAGTTCATGACATATTAGGACATTGAAGAGGTATGTTTTGGTTAGAAGTAAATGAAGCATCGATTAAAATGGGATTTAAAATAAACTGAACTGGGAAAAACAACATAACTCCATAGCTCTTGTCTCTAGAAATGAAGTATGGGTGGTCTATGAGTCAGTGCATTTTCTTGGTCTTCCTGATTCTCATTTGTACGGTACTAAGAAATCTAAAGTCTTAATTAAGAATTTCTCTTGGTCAACAACTAACAGTACAATGATTTTGACTATTGTTCCTGAAGCCAAATACAGGTGGTCTAGTTCTGCAAACTAGAGACAGGAAATCCTGATAGAAATAAATGAAATGGAGACATCATGAGGAAATGTAGGGGAAGGAAATGGATGAGTGCATAGACGCATAGTTAAAAGAACAAGACTTGCCTATTACAAACTGATAGAAATGGTCTCTAAGAAGCCTTTTGTTGGAATAATTCTTTACGATTCCTACAGGAATGTATCTACCCATTTATTTAGTATTTTTATTATTGTGATATAACTGACATATAATATTGTGTAAGTTTAAGGCGTATAATGTGCTGATTTCATACATTTATATATTGCAATGTGGTTACCACTATAGCCTTAGCTATCATTTCCATCATGTCACATGATTACCATTTCCATGGTGAAAACATTTCAGATCTAGTCTCTTAGCAACTTTGAAGTATATAATACAGTATTGCTGACTATAATCACTATAAGGTATATAATCTCCCCAGAGCTTATTCATATTCTAACTGTAAGTTTGTACCCTTTGACAAACATCCCAATTCTCCTACAACCCAGACCCTGGTAACCAGCAATCCACTGTCTCTGTAAGTTCTGCTTTTTGTTTTTTAGATTCCTTATATAATTCATTGCATACTCTGCCTTTGACTTAGCATAATGCCCTCAAGGTCCATCCATGTTGTCTCAAATGGCAGGAATGTATTTAAAACACCTGACACTAATGAGTGTCTACATGTTGAGTGGAGGACAGTATACAACAAGTGCTAAATAACTAACATAACAATTCTAAAACAAAACAGCAAATACTATTAATACATGCAATTGAGGACCACAGTAAGTTTCAACATTTTTATTACTGAAGCATAGAATGTGTCAGTTTATAAAATTAGATTGTAATGAAAAACTTCATAATGCTAATTTCATATAAAATCACAAGCCTATTTGATTTAGTGCCATTTGTGTTGCCATTCTTAATTGACATAGAACATAGTGTTTCAAAAGATGTGGATTTCCAACAAGACCCATAATGCTAGATTCCATGTTTACATAAAAATAATTTAAAAGCTCATTAAAGAAATATTTTTAATTTGACCATTAATTTTAAACATACAAATACTTATTTCCCATGAGTTTTATTGATTGTTACTGAATTTTAATGAGAATACTTACCTTATCAATCTGGTAGATTTTGTTTTGCACTTAAAAAAAAATTCTTTAAAGAAAGTAGACATTTTACAGAAGGGGATGAAACAAGCCAAATAATTATGCTCATCTTCAGCTTGACACTATGTCGAGATCATTTCAATAATCTTTTTTAATATTTTACTAATATTCTGCAATTTTTTGTGGTACAGGTCACAACATAGTTTTTTGAAGAAAACTGTTTCTAATTTCCCTTTGATTCCTCTGCTAATGACACGTCTTTAAATGATCCTTAATTACGTATTGCAACGGGTTGTTTAATAGTTATATTTCATTAGATCATGGATTCACATATTTAAAACTCTATATGGTGTATGGAAATTAGGGTTATTTTGTATAAGGTTATAGTTTCTTGTCTATACAGAAGGATACTTGTTTTATAATTCAGAGCAGGGAGGACTAGTCTTTTATTGCATATCATCATCTTGCTTGCTAAAGAAAGAATACCTTACAGAACTGGAATCTGTTTTTCAAGAAGACCATAGGCTTAATTTCTTGTAACTATTTATTTTCTCTCCAGGAACATTTGTCATCCAGGTGACAGCAAGTGATGCTGACGATCCTTCAAGTGGCAATAATGCTCGTCTCCTGTACAGCTTACGACAAGGCCAACCATATTTCTCCATTGAACCAACAACAGGTATTCCTGGGAGAAACGAAGTGCAATTCAACATGATTCTAAGGCAAAGTCAGAGCAAAAGTTCTCTGCCTACAAACATGTTGTAAAGTAGACCTGATGATTCAATAAATACATGGGTTGTAATGTTAAGCATTTAATTATTTTTAATCTTTTAGCTGGTTTTTCTAAGGTTGGGAGATTGGATTTTTCTCACCCATACCGCAAATGATTTGTGTATGGGATATAAAACATACTTAAGGATTATTACAAATTAATTACAGAACTACAGACAACCCAATTTAAATATATGGGGAAAAGACACAAGCAATTGACAAAAAAACAGAAAGCCTGCAAGCATATTAAAATTGCTCAACCTCATGAGTCATCATGGAAATGCAGATTAAAATCACAGAGTTCCACCTGCACACACAGCCAGAATGAGATTAAGCTGAGTTTATGGCTGGGTGTAGGAACTTAAAAAACAATAGTTCTGTATTTTATATCTTTTAGCTTCACATGAATACACAACATTTGCTTTTCCTGTCCTTCTCCAATTTCTGTTAATCAATTGAATACTTTATAAAAGAAATTTAAAAATTGCTCTTATTTATTTACATCTATTAAACAGTTAAGAATTATGTGACATTGATTCATTTAACAAATATTGATTGCTTTGGTCACTACAAAGATTAAACCCATATAAATGAGCTTATAGTCTCTAAAGATGAGAAAAAAAACCCAAAAACCTGACTAACCAACCAAGAATGTGGCAAGTTCCAAAAGCAATAAAATTCTGTGATTGTTAATGAGACAAATATTATTTCCATCTTGATGACATGAAAAGCTTTAAAAAATTAAAGCATGTGTTGGGTCTTTAAGCATTTGTTATTGATTCATTCATTTAGCAAGTATTAAATAGGTCAGCCTTTATCAATCAAGTTTCTTTTGAGAATCAGATTCTGAAAAATATGATTTGAGTGACTATATTCTTTTTTTTTTTTTTTTTTTTTACTGTTGTGGCCTCTCCCGTCGCGGAGCACAGGCTCCAGATGCGCAGGCTCAGCGGCCAAGGTTCACGAGCCCAGCCACTCCACGGCATGTGGGATCTTCCCAGACCGGGGCACGAACCCGTATCCCCTGCATCGGCAGGCGGACTCTCAACCACTGCGCCACCAGGGAAGCCCTGAGTGACTATATTCTTAATTCTCCCCAGGATAATACCTAGTTTCTATTATTCTGAATGTACAGGTTAAAGTTATTTTAATACATGCAATGGATGCCTTAAGACATTCCCTTACACAATTTTGGTTGAGAAGGGTTGAATATGCAACAGGCATTGTACAGTATACTAGGTTTACAGCAGGACACCATTGCAACATTAAAAAACTAATAATAGGGCTTCCCTGGTGGCGCAGTGGTTGAGAGTCCGCCTGCCGATGCAGGGGACACGGGTTCGAGCCCCGGTCCGGAAAGATCCCACACGCCCCGGAGCTGCTGGGCCCGTGAGCCGTGGCCACCGAGCCTGCGCGTCCAGAGCCTGTGCTCCACGACGGGAGAGGCCACAACAGTGAGAGGCCCGCGTACCGCAAAAACTAAAAAAAATAATAATAAATTTAAAAAATAATAATAAAAAAAGGAAAGCAATAGGAAGTCTTTTCTCTTGGATCTTACAAATAAATATTAAACATTTGTGTATTAATAAATACATGCATTAGGTTTGTGAATATTATGAAATGAAATAAACAAGGTTCAAGAGAAGAAAGTAAGAACTCCTTCATATTGTGTGGCCAAGGCAGAATACACCGAAACCAGAATGCTGAGCTGAGCACGTGACCAAGGTGAGGAGAGCATGGAAGGCATTCTAGGTTATGGGAAGAATGTATAGGAAATTCCTGAGAAAGGAGAGTGTTTAAGCTCTTAGACTAACTAGACACCAGTGTGAAAGAGCACCGAGTAGGAGAATAGAAAATGGGCAATATACAGACAGTGGATCTTCGCAACCATTTTGAGCGCTGTCTGTTCCTCCAGCCCTCACTGACTTCTTAAACATATTGAGCAAATTAGCTAAAGCAATTAATTGCATTAATGGAGGAGCAGTAGAGCCGGCAGCAAGACAATTGGAAGTCAAAGCACAGAAGTGATAAGTTTTCGAGTGTGTAATAGGATCTAGAAATATATATCCTTTATCCATTCTGAAGGTAAGAAGACATGTTGAAAATAAAGTCAGCAAAGTTAATTGAAGCCTCCATACATGGGAAGTGAAGGCCTCTGTGTTCGTCTCACTCGCTGACTAATCTCTACACCTTTGGATATATAATTCCCAAACTCTAATACTATTCTCCTTTGCTAATAGGAAACACAATTCTCTGTTGAGTCACACACAGGGAGATATTAGGAGCATCTGTCTCATATATTCCATGGTTTCCGTACTGATTCATATAATAGAGTATAATTGTGAAACACTTCAGTCCACAATTAAAATCTCATCATAATGTGGTCCAATTTGTCTTTCTTTTATTTTTTTACAGGTATCACAATTTTTAAATTAACACTTTTTCCCCAGACATATTTGAAGATTAGCAATTTTCTTTCTTATATTTGTATTATGTGTTCCCCAAATCTTTAGTATTACAGCCCTTCTATTCACCACCTTAAATTTTTCCTAGGTTTTTTTCAGTGATGATTAACTTTTTACTAAATAATTTCATAGAATGTGAACACTTATTACAACATTTCCATGGTCCAATATGGATATGAATATCTCTGTTGGTGGATTATGAATAACTGTGAGTCAAAAATCAGCTCTTTTTCATATATTATGACTCAAAATAGATTTCACATCACAGGTGCACAATATTTTTGCATAAATTTGGTATTGTAGTTTTACATGTATCCATAATAAACTAACTTCTTCTAAGTTTAGGAGAAAAGTTAATTGTAGAGCCCTAATATTATGTTAGAGAAGAAAGCAGAAAATAAGTTGAGGTAAAAATAGGACATTCTTCTTCTCTCCCTGTGGTTTATCTTAACATAGTATTTTATTAAGATTCTGCTACTATTAGTATTGTGATGGCCACTCTAAGCTTTAGGCAGAGGTGGTGATTGACTTATTATTGTTGTATTTTTTTCTCCAGGGCAGCATCTAGCACATTGTAGTGGTTCAAAATGTGTCAGAAGAATGATTTTATGTTTGAATTCTTCAGAAATTAACTAGGAAGATGTCATGGTTAATAATGAAATAATAATTATAGTTTATTATGTCTTTAAAGGAGTCATAAGAATATCTTCTAAAATGGATAGAGAACTGCAAGATGAGTATTGGGTGATTATTCAAGCCAAAGACATGATTGGTCTGCCTGGAGCACTGTCTGGAACAACAAGTGTATTAATCAAACTTTCTGATGTTAATGACAATAAGCCTATATTTAAAGACAGTAAGTAAAAAGGATTCTAATAAATAATTTTTGAAAGTATGGGAAATCGCACAAACTAAGTCTTGATTTAGCAAAGTGCTTAAAGCATCTGCTTTCAGATTTAGGGTAGTGTCACTCT